AGGCATCATTCTGTTGTAGCTAGTGATATTGATAATTTTCTAGGATCTTATTCTGTCACACTTATTTAAAAGTTACATCATCCTTTAACAATTACTTAACTAATATAGAAATAACTTTATGCTAAAACTAAGAAGTAGCTGGGTGGATAGACTCTAGGAAAGTCCCAGTGGTAGAGAGATGATTCTAAGAATTCTACTTTAATCCTCCCTCACGCTAACCCACTCAAAAAACCCAGCTTCCTGAACATTGGGCTGTATAACTCTGTCTGAAACTGATGACCATGCTGATGCAAAACAGAGAATGAAACCGCATGTGGAAATAGAAATTTCTCACAAATCAAGTATATGGTTAAAAAATGAGGCAGAATCTTAAAGTTGAACAAGTTTTCAGGAAAACTGCTGCTTGCACACTAGTCTTTTGACCCAAGTAACATCTTTAGACTCTTATCCTTAACTTAAAATATTTTGATAAGAACCCATGGTGAATTTTGTACAGATGTGATATAGATATTTTTTTGAATACTCAAGATTTATATAGGCAGGTCCCCAAATTAAATATTGTTTTGATCCAGAAATAACCCAATTTTAAAAAGCAGTCTCAAATATGCTATTGTGGAAGCTCTTGGGATCTGAGGGGAGGGAAGAAAGAGGGGAAGCTGTGAAAAGCATGACTGAGGGCTCTTTGGGATGGCAGGAAGTGTCAGTGTTGGTAGGGACAGTTTTAGGAAAGGTTAGGCAATATTAGTAGATACCCTAAAGAACCATTCTGTACTGAATATTTTGTTTCAGCAAACAATGAAAATTCTACCACTTGGAGGTGCATTTGGATTTTGAAAGTCCTTTTTAATAAATGGGAATGCCTTTCACCTTCTCCTAAAGATATTTTCATTTGTTAAAAAAAGAAAAAAGTGTTCTTTCTCATATCCACTTGAGGTCAGTTGTACTGAGAGAGGTGGAAATTTTGATTGGATTGGAAGGGAGTGAGGTAATTTTGGGATACAGAGTACTTGGAGGAGGTAAAAGTAAGGAAGATCATTCAATAATCATTAATTTTACAAATATTATAGGTACTGTGTGCAGAGAGGTCAATGTATCAGATATGGTCTTTGCACTCCTGAACTTATTATTTGGTTGGGAAGGTTGGCATATGTGATGAGCATTAAAAAGGAAGGGTAGATGCCATGAATATATACAAATGGGACAGAAAGCCTCAATATGGTGTTTATCTGATTTGGTAGCCTTAGAAATTTATGAAGTCGTTGGATCCTGAACCATCTCCATTGTAACAATTTCATCTTGGCTAATCAGGTGATATTTCTGATAGCTGAAGATGGCAGCAAATAACAGGTGTTTATTTTTTTAAACTTTTATTTTCAGATTAGTTCAACAAAACAAACATATATGAAAGTGGGACTGGCAGATTAATGTTACAAATAGACACTGGCCTTAGTGAGAGAGCATTGGAATGTTGAAATGTATTGAACTGAAGCAGAGATAGATAGCTATATAGGTAGGGGACTTAGGGTTCTTGGAGTCTTGCTTGGTCAGATATGAAGAATTTTGGTCCTATAGAAGTGACAAATCAAGGGAAATCAAGTTCCTGCAAAGGATCTGTAGACAGTATATGTTAAATCTAGGCCTCCATGTTTCAGTTTTGTAAGAACTAAACTATGTGTAGATATTAGGAACTGCCCACATGTTCTTAAATATATTACATTGAGATTAAACAAATCATCAAACGTTAACTGTTTGAAATCTGAGTGAATTTTTGGAAAAGAGTTGAAATAGAAATAATCATGGATATTGCTGGTCATTCAGCCTATGCACATAATACTAATGTTGAACTACCTCTCTGTGCCACAATCCTATATGAGGTATTTTATGTGTTTTTTCATTTAATTTTATCCTTAAAGAAGCACTATCAGGTAGGTGCTCATTTCACTAACAGGTAAACTAAAGCCCTAAGAGGTTAATATGTCCAAGGATGCAAAATAAGTAAAGTTGTAACTAGAACCTGGTTCTTCGGGTGTCTTTGGTGTCTTCCAGCTTCTTCCCTGTTTTTCTAGTATGTGGTAGTATAGTGGTTAAGTAGTGGATTTTGGAGTTCAGTCATGCTGTGTTTGGCATAACTATGGGCAAGAAGTTAATTTTCTAAGTCAAAGCTCCCTATTATGTAAAATGGGAATAATAATATTCTTGGGGTTGTTGTGGGGTTTTAAGAGAGAAATTTCATAGACGACCTAATGTCTGGTACTTAGAAAGTTTAAACAAATATTAGCTCTTGTTATTATCAGATGCTCATGACTGTATTCAGTCCTCTAGCTACTCAAAGTCTTCTGGTTCAGTTTATCATAAAGACCTGCCCTCTCTTCTGGGGATTTGTGCTCTCATGGCTTTAATTGTTCTCTGTATGCTGGTGACTGTCAAAACTATGTGTCTACCCTAGGCCTCCTACCTGAGCTGAAGATATTGGGCCTAGTTGCCTTCTAGATTTGCTCTGCCCATAGGATAGCCACTTCCCACATGTGGCTATTGAGCTGTTGACATGTGGTTAGTCTGAATTGCAATGTACTCTAAGTATAAAATACACACTAGATTTTCTTTAGTAAGAAAAAAGGAATGTAAAGTAGCTCATGATTATGTTGATTATGTGATAATTTTTAATGTATTAAATAACATTATTTTGACATGTTTTTATTTTTAAAATGTGGCTACTAGGAAATTACATATATGGCTGCATTATATTTCTATTGGACTGTGCTATTCTAGATATCTCCTCTTATATATTTCTCAAGTGCCTTGAAATTAGCTAGTCCAAAACTGCCTGAGACTCTCCCCATTCTCTTCTCCCTCCCAAAGTTCTGTTTTTCCTTCTATTCTTTATCTTGGTGGATAGCTCTGTTTATGCTCCCAAAGCCAGGAATTTTGGAGTCATTGATTCCTTGCAAAATCTTTTTCTACTTTTTTCATATTTGTCATTTTCATGCACTTCTTATTGTTGCCACTATTACTACCTTCGTTGGTTTATTCTTTTATGGTTTCTTGATTTTGTTATATTTAGATCCATTCTACTCAAGGATATAAAAAGATGGAATTCTACCCTATTTTTTTTTTAAGTTTATTTATTTATTTTGGGAGAGAGAATGTGTGTGTGCATTAGTGTACGTGTTCACACAGGGGAAGGAGAGGGGCAGAAAGCAAGGGAGAAAGAATCCCAAGCAGGCTCTGTGGTGTCAGCACAGAGCCCTGTGTGGAGCTCAATCCCACAAAATGAAATGAGATCATGACCTGAGCTGAAATCGAGTCCAATGCTTAACCAACAGAGTCACCCAGCCTCCCCTACCCTATTTTTTTCAATTTTATTTATTGAACTAATCTTTACACTCAACATGGGACTAAAACTCACACTCTTCTCTGACTGAGCCAGCCAGGTGCCCAGGCCTACCCTATTTTTTTTTTTTAAATAGTATTGTTACAGTTTCGTTTTTTTAAAAATATATTTGCTTCATCTAAAGTTTTTTATTTTAAAGTAGGACTCAAAGTTTGTTTTTAAATTATTTTTTATTTTTTATTTTTTAATTTTATTTATTTATTTATTTTTTTTT